GTTTCTTGTCGAGCACCAACTGTACACATTGACATAGCAAGTGCAATGCTTGCTGGTGAAAGAAATACATTTTGATTATTTTTATTTTGAGTAACAGTTGAATAAACTTTATGACCAAAATGTTCGAAGTCCGAAGCCATTGATGATGATGATAATGATGAAGCCATGTTTTTTGTATTTATGAGAAAAAAATAATGGAGAAAACGACGTTATTTCAGTGTTTTTATACTCTGTTTTTTATGTGAATATTTATCTTTGTTGTAGTTGTTTGACTTAGCCTATAGAGGACCACACAGGAAGGTTTGTGTCACTTGTATGAATAATATAGTGAGTCAGAAACAAAGAACAGGAGAGAAAATCTTCAAAACATCAAGAAAACTTTATTTTAATGCAGTGAATACGATAAGAGAAAAAGATTATGATTAGTTGTTGAGTTGTTTTTTTATTTATTGATCAAATTATCTAATGATGAGTTGCATTTTATGAGAATATGACTCACAGTTATATAAAAGAAATAAATTGCTTCTATATGGTGAAATATCTTTTTAACATTACCTTGTTGAATGTTGATTAATCCTGGATGTGTTAGTATGACAATATTGGATTTCTTATACAAATTCCTCGTTAAGACTAAAACAGCATATGACACTCAAATGTTATATATCTGATTAATGGATAATATCATTTCTTTCAAATAAATCAGAAAACCTATTATTTGTATCAATAAAATTCATTAAAAATCCAGTTTAGACTTATATTTAATAAGTAAATATAAAAAAATACACATTTACATTTTTCATTTATTTTTTTTCATATAGAGATTGAAGAGTTATTTCTTTGAAGATGATTAAATTCTCTATAACTCATATTCTATTTAATGAATGTTCGTTTTGTATTTAACCTATTTTGATGATGATAATTATCGCGTATGATTATTAATTTATAATGACTATTAATAAAAATGAATATACACAACTAAGATCTAATTTCTGTAGAAAACAATAATATATGCTGAACAATCAAATGGCGACAAACAATAGTAGTCTACTCTCTCCCTCTGTTTAGTTTTGTCTCTATATGCTTTACTAATGTTGCCTGTTGGTTACAAATTCAAGGAATCGATGCATGGAGAAAGAAAAAAAGCAGTCTTTGAAAGGTTTGTCTTTTTTTTTCTTCGTCGTCTTGTCTCGTGCCTCTAGTTATATAGTATACATGTATGTTGAAAGTTCGTTTTGCACTCTATGACTTCATATTTACGAAAATATGTAACTGCACTTGCATCAGCAAAAGATTATGTAGCTCAATGGTCATCTGATCATGTTTATGCTGATGAAGAACTTATTGTACCATTTCCAACATTAGCTAGATTTGATCCAAATAAAAATATTTGGTCAGTACATATTAAAGCTTGGATATATTTACCAATACAAACGAAACCGTTAACAAGTTATCTTCCATCATTACCAAGTTTTTTAACTGGTAATAAAAGTGTTGAGCCAAAAAATGAAGAAAAAGAAACAAATGAAGAGAAACAAACGAATGAAGAGAAAATAGAAGAATCTATTAATATTAATGATGAAAATAAAACAGACAGAACAGTTTTTAATGAAAGTGATGAAAATAAAGTAACTAAAGCATCCGAATCAGAAACTAATGTTAAAGTTGATAAAGATAAAAAAGATGCAGCTGCTAGTGCTAGTAAAGAAAATGATCAAACAAAGAAACAAGATGGATCCGGTGATGAAGGAATCAATTCAGATGATGATGATTTGTATGAAGACGCTTTGAGTATGTATTTTTCATTTTTTTCTTCTTTTAGTTTTCTCAATTATAAATTAAAACTCTTTTTATAATAGAAGAAGAATTTGGTAAACCAAATGAAAATCCTGGTCGATTAGGTTTATTTTTTGTTGGAAGTTCTGTTAAAGTTACAACGAAATCAATTATAAGTGGTGTTGAACATTTACTTCAACCATCAGATGAAAGTGGTTTTATTGAAGAATGTCTTGAACTTACAGATAAAGAAATTCAATCACTTTGTACAACAACTCATTCCGATTGTCAAGATAGAAAATTTGAATATCAAATACAAATTGATGAAACAAAAAAGACAGATAAAAAAAAAGAAAAAGATGATAATTATAAAACATTTCAATGTACAATTTATGCTCTTGCACCTCATGGTACTAGTATTATATCAGATATTGATGATACAATTAAAGTTTCTAATGTACTTAGTAAAAGATTATTATTAAAACATACTTTCTATAGTTATTTTAAACCGATTGAGGGTATAAGTGATGTTTATCAAAAATGGCATGAACAAAAATGTCAATTTCATTATGTTAGTGCCAGTCCATGGCAATTGTAAATATTGAATATTTTAATTTAAAATGAAAAAAAAAGAAAGAAAAACATTTGATACATACTTTTAGGTATCCTGCTCTTAGTTGTTTTTTGGCAAAACATAACTTTCCAATGGGAACTATGAATCTAAGAAAATTTGCATGGAATATGAAATTTTTTAAGCCAGCTGATACATATAAAATTGAAACGATTACAGAAATAATTGATTCATATCCATTAAGAAAATATATTTGTGTTGGTGATTCAGGTTTGTTTGATCTGTATGAATTAAAAAAAAATTATTTACATGAAATCTTTCATTTAGGTGAACTTGATCCTGAAATTTATTCAAAATTATACATAAAATATCCTGAATCAATTGTTCATATATTTATTCGTGATATTTGTCGAATGCCTGTATGTGCACCATCATGTGAAGAAAGATATAAAAAAGCATTTGAAAATATACCAAAAGAACGTTGGACAATATTTAAAGATTCAAAAGAAATCGAAACGGATGTTAACAAATTACTTTCTGCGTAGAATAAATAAGTTTGCTTTTTCTTACAATTTTATATTTTGTGAAACACGATCTAAAAAGAATGTTGAAATCTACAGGGTAGAAATTTGCATTGCAGATAGACCATGTAACTTTCGTTCTCGAAGACGGCTTTCTTTTGCACAGAAGCGATTGTATATCATAAAAAAACAAATCACCATTAAGAAAAAAGAAGGCATTTTTCGGCGAAAAATACTTGAGGAAAATGTTTGTCCTTAGTTTCGTGCGCAGATTCCGAATATATTATTGTTGTGCAATGAAAATAGTTCCGCATTGAAAAATATCAAAGCTACTTGAAAAACTATGGTTTCTTGAAAAGCCCAAATCTCAGCCATGACTAAGGATGACATGTTCATTTTACTAAGCTCAACTATTCGAAAAATCACTACAGAAATATTTTTACTTTTTCTTAAGCATTTATTAGTTCAAATTTAAATTTTATTTTTTAAATCGATAGAGAATACTGAGCTAGCTGCGAATATGTGCTATTTTTGCCTACTTATCGGCTGAGTTTTACACAAAAATTTTATTTTTTTAACAACAGGTCAGTTTTCAAGCTAAATTTCTGATTGATAGGCTTTCCACTCTACGTAGTATTCGGAACCAAAAGTTTTATACCGGCAGATAGAACATGTCTTGAAATATACTTACTATTATTTGAGTGGAGAAAAATTTTATTTTCGTTTTATCACCTTATGTCCACCGGAATATGAACATTAGACAAAAAAGAATGAAAGTGAGCTTTTTTCGAGATTTCAATAGTAATTTATACACTTTGATTAACGGTCAGTGTTTTGGTTAAAAAAATTGTCCCAGCTGCTAAATTCATCGGAAAAGCCTAGTCACAGGAAAAAGGCCAAATTTCAGCGCCTTTAGAGAAAAACATCCTTTTTTTCTGAAAAATAAAGAGGATTGGACAATAAATCGTATATAGTCTGAATCTAGAACTTCTGTTCTATCGATTCATAAGAAAATTTCTTATTCTGAAAAAATAATTATTCATTTTTCAAAAAGACACCTTCAGCAAAATTAGTCATCACTTTTATCCACTAATCTAATATTGACGAAACTTTCAGAGAATGTTCTTCTATATCCGAGACATACATTCACTTAGCATAGAGATGCATAAATGCTTCTGAACTGTGATACATGTTTTCTAAAAATCTTGATTTTAAAAAGGTTTTTCGCGATTTCTTCGTCATAAAAGACAAAGATATATTTGGAATCAGCATGAAAAATTGCATCGAGTGTTGTACTATTTATCAATTCTTAAAATAAAAAGTTTTTTCACAGGAGTTTGTCGACGTCAGAGATTTTCCATCGCAAATCGTCTTTTTTTACTCAATCTTATTTTTGAGTACAAGAAGCTAATATTTCTATGAAAAAAATTCGCTTCTGATAGACCACGACAAACATTCTCACGAAAATGTTACAGACTATCAGACACCTTAACAAGGCCGCCCCTTCACAGACGTTATTGATTATCAACTACTTCCTTATTACATTTCTGAATGATTATGTAAAATATTGATGAAAGAGATGTCTCCCAAAATAGATCGCATAAAACAATCTCCCTGTGATTAACAACAGCAGCTACATCGTGTTTCACATTTTAATCCTGCCAGAGTTATACGCTGACAATTTTTTTTTTTTTTGTATAACAAACAAAAAGAACAAGCGATATAGTAAATTTCTATATAATTTATTCATGAAAACGAAAACATTCATTAGCAATAACCCATATGGATGAATTAACATCAACAGTTAACACAAATATATGTGAAAAAAGACGTTTTTCTTTCGGAACTGATGTACTTTCGGGTGGACCATATATAACACCACCACTAACAAATACTTGATATGTTTTTGCTTCATTTGGAAATAAATCTAATAACAAAAAAACAAACAATAATTAACCTACAAAAATATTTTTATATTGGTTTTTTTTTACCATTCATTGGAAAGAAATCAAGTGCATAAATATAATGACGTGTTGCTGGTAATGAAACGAGATGTTTTGCAATAGCACTTTGTCCATTGAATTCCATTCCATTCCAAACTAATTTAGCTTGTGCTTGATAAAATTTATCAATATCCTATAAAAAAGATTTTTTTTTTTTCTTCCTATCTAAACAAAAAGAAAAATAAATCTTACGTGTCGTCGTGTATCAAAGATATCATAATATCGTTTAGAAAAATTTTCTACAGCTTCTACATCTTCTCGACATTTTTTTTGCTAAATAATCGAAATTGATATAATATACATAATCATATAAATTAATTCCTTTTCACACCTGATCCGTTGTTGTTAACATTGATTTAAATAAAGAGAAAACTTCTTTTTTTTTTTTGTTTATCTGAAATATGAATTATGTTTATTTATAGATCAATCAAAATGATTCATATATATGTAGTCAGATAACTATAAAAGAAAAAAGAAAACAATTTTATTTTTTTAATCAAATTAAATTGAACATCGAATAGGTTTTTATTTTTTTTCTTGTCGTTGATCATGTTCACCATTTTCAATACGATTGTTTCGTTTTGAACTACAATAAATAAATGAATTTTACTAATTTCTTAGACATATTACAAGATTATAGATAAATCAAAGATTACAAACTGAAGAAAAGAAAATAAGTTATCTAAACATGAGAAGTTCATTTAGAAAGGCAAAATCTCACAGTGAATAATATTTGAAGAATGAAAAATTAAACGTACAGTTTCAAGGCGTCTATAAGAAATGAATTGATAGAAAAAAAATCATCAAGAAATTGGTATTAAATGAACAAAAGCATCTTTTGTTTTTTAAATAAAAAGTCTTCAACTCAAATAACTAAGTTAAATCTATACAAAAAAAAGACAGTCGCAAGACGCTATTACTAAATTGCAAACGACTACAAAGAAGCATGTTTCTCAATATATAAACTAGAAATTCTTTCGAAAATTAAAATGATTAAAAGCATAGAATTTTATAAAGTTATTTCAAAATTAAAACTCGAATCAAGAAAAAAACAAAAGTATTTCTGTTTTAATATACATCTGCATCATTTGTTGATACAGTCAATGCTAACGTTCCATGTAGAAAACAAAAATGTAAAAGCATTATTTTTCTACTATGAAAAAAACCTTAAAGTGAATTCATTAGCAGCAAGGGAGTTAGAGTAGTACTTAGAGCTTGTCGGATTGGTTTCGGTCGTACCGACTCAATAAGTCATTTCCGAAAAGTAGTAGATAATTACGATTTGATTATTATTAAATAATCATTAAGATTGTCTGAGAAATATGTAGGGTACATTAACCATCGAATACAAAAAGCCGAAATAAAACATTTCGTATCATCGGGGCGACTATACTATTCCGAATAGAAAATTTCATTGAAAATGTCAAAGTACGGTTCACCACATGGCGTGTCAGTCTTAGAGTATTCTGAAAGAGTATTGAAAGCTAATGGGTGCCGATAAGAATACACAAAAGGCCCTTACTCACACTCATGACGAAGAGTCCGATCGTGAAGTAAACTATAGACTTGTGAAACTCCTCTATTTTTCAAAAAAAATCAGGACATGCATAACTATTACGATATAATGTTTTTTTTTTGTGCAGCAAGAATATCCACCTTATGCCTTTATTTTATAGGAATATATTCAAACTGCAGCTGTTTTGCTAATAAAATGTAACAATGAGACTTTTTCATCGTTTTTAATTTTATATTAGATTTCAAATATATATATATATATATTGAAAAAGAAAACCTACGTTGATGTTGATCTTGAACGACGTGGTGATCGAGATCGTGAACTAAATTAATAAAAATTTATCAAAAAAAAAAACATTTTTTTTTATCTTAATAAATTTCTTTAAACAAACCGTCGATGATGACTATTACTACGTGATCGATGTTTTGAACGTCGTCGAGATCTTGATCGTGAACGTGTTCTAAGTTTAAATATTAAAAGATTTTCATTTTCTCTATTCATAATATGAACAGTAAATTTTCTTTTTTTTCAAAAAAAAAAAACAAAAAAAACAAAAAAAAAACATAATATGCAGACTTGTTACTTTGATAAAAAAGAAAAAGTAGCCTAATCGACGAAACATATATATATCTTACATCTGATCTGTTAAATCGACTGGAATATAACTGCAGTCTCGCTCTGTTTAGTTTGAATGAATCAAAATAAAAAATGCAGCATACAAACACCGGGATAAACCAATATTTTTTTATTTTCTCGAACATGTCGATTTTCTAGACATTCTGGATACAGCATCTTTGTGCAGAAGAATACCTGTGTGAATAGAGATAAACAATTTTGTTTATTCTAATCTTATGGGAAGATAAACAAAAAATAAATAGGATGGGAAAATTTTAAAATACAAAATTTTTCTTTTCTCGATAAGTTTTTATTTTATTTTTATTTTTATTTTTTTGTTTCTATTATCTTACCGACGATGGCGAATTTTTTCTCGACTATCTGTAGCTGATGCACGACCATAACGAGCAAATTGTACACGTATTTCACGTCCATCAAGATCAGTACCATCCATACGATCAAGTGCATCTTGTGCATCACGTTTTTTAGTAAAACTTAAAAATAAAAAAAATAAAAATAAAAACATGAATAAATGATAAACATACCGGACAAAAGCATAACCACGACTTGATCGTGAAAATTGATCTCGTGGAATATAGATATCACCAATAGGACCAAATTTTTCAAAACATCGTCGTAAATCTTCGACACGTGTACGATATGTTAAATTATCAACTTTAAGTGAATATAAAACATCAACATTTGGTGATATTGCACGACGATCACCAGTATTTCGTGGTCGATTACTCATTTTACGAAGAATATCTCAATATAATTTTCTTATACAAAATAATAATAATAATAACAAATAATAAGAAAAATAACAATGAGTAATTGCAGCCATTTATATATTAACTCACACAATTAGACTAGAGGTTCAATAGATATTAGAGACATCTAGTGAGAAATCATCAAAAAATTTAAATCAATAAATCTCAGAAAAAAAGGTGGGTGGATATTTTTTGAATAACTTTTGATAGAAATAAGATAGAGAACTAGAATTTTCATCTTTAAAAAAAAAATGAAGAAACATCGTACTGTTTATTACAAGTTGTTTTTTGACATGATCTTTTTCAAGATTTTCAATTAAGAGGTGTTGCAGAGATGTCTCAAGATCACCAAGATTGGAGGAAGGTATCGATCCTTGTCACAGGAATTGGTTAGCAAAATAAAAAAACGAAGAAAATCGTTCAGTTTCGCTGGGAAAAAGCGAAAATTTTTCAAGATTGGTAGTTACCTCTGGTTATAGGTATTCTACTCAAAACCCTCAATTGATTTTTTTAAAGCAATCGCTGTGAAAAAAATTCAATTTTTTCGTATTCTATAAGAAACCATTTTTTTCGGGCATTTTTTAATAGAAAATTGATTAAAAAAACTTTCAGAAAACATCTTAGAAAAATTTATAATATATGATTCGATGTGACTTTATCTCCTGTTTCCAATGGTGAAAATCGCAGTACTCTATCCTCTTTCCAACAAAAGTGATTCAAAAAAACTATCCATCGATGTTTTTTTTTTGAATAGGCATTAGTTTTGCACAAGCTATGTCAATGCCTTTGAAAATTCGAAATCCCTACAATCGATATAATCATAGCTTGATAGCTGTTCTCATTATCTCATGTTGATTCATTAAGTTATTGTTTTTTCTTTTGATTATTAAACTATTTTTATAAAATAAATAATCTTAAGTTTGATTAAAAAAAGTAAAAAATATGATTTATTTGTTCCTAAAATTGTAAATTGAGAATCATCTAGATCACTGTCTTAGATACGGATAGTTGTAATTTGTATTGCTTGTTCTTTTTTTTTTTTATGATAATCAATTGATATAATCAAAAAAGAAAAATAATCTTTAGTCACACTTAATTAGCTTTTATTCGGATCAAATGAATATAATTATTTTCTCGTTTACTATATGTTACACTTAATAATCTACTCTGCTTTCCTCCCTTCTTTATGAACCTAATTTGTCATCTTTTTGCAGACGACCTAACTATGGTTATATCTGAAGCTCTTGAGAATAGTTTTTCTGAAAAACATTACCGAATTAGAATAGTAGGCTATCTTGAGGGTGGGTGTGAAGCGTTTTTATTTTTATTAAGTCCATATATGTATTTCATAGACAATTAAACTGCTTAATCAAATAAGTTCTAATATTTGAAATGTCTTTCATTGACAGCAATAGTGAAGTGTTCAGAAAAATGCTTCAAATACACAAAGAGATATAGCTTCGTGTTGCAAGTAAAAGTCCAAATATAAATATCAATACGATATTAGTATTGTGACGTGTCGATTGATCTCGTTGTCTCTCGTTCGAAATGTACTTCTTACATCATAACAGATAAATATGGTTTTTTTTTGTTTATATAAAAGGAACAATAAACTACAAGAAATTTAGAATAGTCAAAGAAGATAGAATTCTTACGAGCTAAATTATTGCCTATCAAGTGATTATTCTTAAAGGGGAAAGTCTTCACATTGCTTAGTGCTCAAGTGGATAATATACAGCCAGTTTCGTGCTCCAAAAATGGTACCAAAGTAGAACACCATGAGTACGATGTCCGAATCCAGTGGCTAGATTTTCCTGCTTCCGACAGGAAATGGCTGGCTATACACGAGTAGAGCCGATCGTCAGACACGATCATTATAATACTGCTTCCAAATTCGCACCATTTTTCAGGAAAAAAAACACAGAATTGAACACCATAATCATTGACCTGGATAGGGTTGCCACACATAATATTGGAGACATCTTTACTTTAATCACATGAATCAGTATGAAGATTTTATTAAAGTAAAAATATGCGATTTAAACAAATATGTTAGTAATGATTAGGTTTTCTTTTGTATTGAGAAGATCATAGCATTGAAATTTATAGAAGTCAGGAGTGCTCTCCTCCAATGTTGAAAAATTTTTGCTTTTACTCTAGCGGAGCTCCAACATTCTATTTTCAATTTTACCAAACATCTTCCGATTTGCTTCTTGAGGAATCAATAATTCTCCGTTGCCAATTCTGGCAACCTCGAGATGCTTTTCATAGAAACAAAAAAAAACGGTAATTTATTATTCGATCTGATTAGGAAACCAATAAAAATAAAATTTGTTTTTCTCCTTCTCTATGTCTCTTATCTTTATATATACTATACAAATCAAAATTGATTTAATAATGTGATTGGTGTTTCTACGTAGTAACACCAATCATATTGATTAAATTAAATTTTAGTCAATATGCCATGTATAATGAATTACATATCACAAGTAGCAGTATCGACTTCACCGACATTTTTACTGAGAAAAGAAATTTCATATTTACACAATAAAATGTATTAAAATCGTTATCAATAGGTTTTACGGGTAAAAATTTCTATTTCAGTTTTTTATCAATAAATTATAAACTTATATTGATAAGAAAATAAGATATTTTGTTTAAATTAAAATATATATATATATATATATATAGACGTGTTTAACCATAGGACGCCCCATAGGAAATAATATTACTCCAGAAAGGAGTATATAATGAATTTTATATCAAATGGAAGCTCGTCAAAAATGGGATTTGTTGGTACTAAATAGTAAGAGTTTTGTAAACTTTGTAATATCGAACTTAAGAAATATTGAGAAATTTCATACATTTTTGGCATAGA